GAGGAGGAGGAGGACGAGGAGGAGGAGGAGGCGGAGGAGGAGGGAGGAGGAGGAGGAGGAGGGAGGTGGAGGAGGTGGAGGAGTAGGAGGAGGAGGAGGAGGAGGAGGAGGTGGAGGAGGAGGAGGAGGAGGAGGAGGAGGAGGAGCAGGAGGAGGAGGAGGAGGGGGAGGGAGGAGGAGGAGGAGGAGGAGGAGGAGGAGGAGGAGGAGGGGGGGGAGGAGGAGGACGAGGGGGGAGGATGTTAAGGAGGAGTCGGAGGAATGGGGGCCCATGCTGTCATCAGCACCTGTGCCCTGTGAAGAGTGGCAGCCATCTTCCCTGCTCCATCGTCGGAAACTTTGCGGGAGACGCGCGCTAGTAGCAGATTGACTACAGCAGGCCAATCAACAACAAAAAACTACATTTGATCCCCAGCACGCGTTCCATGGGAATTCCCCATCAGCCGACGACCGTGGGGTCCCATTATGATTTCAGGGCAACTGCCAAACTTTTCATAAACAGCACCATAAGTAGTAACATGGTCTTGTAAGTAATGTATCCAATGCTTCGGACAGCGACTTCCCGACCGTTCGCAACCGTAGGCCTCTCATCGTTGCCTGGAACCGTCGTTTCTGTCGCTCCCGTCTCTCCCTTCGGCCTCCTTAGCAGTCGGTGCACAGGGGTGGGCCGACACCTCACGCCTGGCGGCGGCACGGTGGCAGACTCCGGGCGGTGAGGGGGATGTGCCCCACAGCTTCTCGAGGGCTTCGCCGGTGCTCTTCGGGCGTGTGCGAGGGTCTTGCTCGGCATTTTTCGGTACACGACTGTATTGTGGAACGCCTGCGACGTGTCAGGATCCCAACGGAGGATCTGTGCCGTGGACGCCCACCCTCCCCCGGCCGAGGGCGCGTACGCTTCGCCCTCTCAAGATTTTGGTGCTCAGGCTGTCCCTGGGGCCTGCACGGCGGCAGCGGACAGCTGCTGAGGCTCGTCCCCCCGTGGGGGTGGACTCTTCCTCTCCCCCCCCGTGTCCTCTCCCTCCCTCCCCCCCGCCTCCCTCCGCCTCCCTCCCTCCTTTCCCCCTCCCTCCCTCTCCCGCTCCCTCCCCCCCCCGTCCCCTCCATCCCCCCTCCCTTCATCTCCCCAGCGACCTCCAGCAACCCCCAGCCGGCCCAAGCCGAGGCGTCGCAGCACCGGTCGAGTGCGAAGACCGTCCAGCACCCTCCCGTCCAGCCCCGGCCCTCCGCCGCTGCCCTCTGCGGCACTCCCCGTCGGTTTGGCGAGCCAATCCTCGGCCCGCGGGGTTGTGCAGGTCGCGCGCTCTCCGCGTTTCCTCCCGAGTTTGATGGGCAACTTTTCCACCACCACTACCATATGTAGGACGGGGGAAAAGAGAGGATGAGGAGGTCCTCCTCCTCCTCCTCTTCCTCCTCGTCTTCCTCTTCCTCCTCCTCATATGGTAGTGGTGGTGTGAAATGAGCCCATCAGAGTTTGCCCTCTGTTGCATCGAGGAGCCTCGCGTGGAGCACGCAGCAGCCAACGGGGCGTGGAAGGCATGACGGTCCACCAGCACGCCCGTTCACCTGCCCGGTCGCGGAGCCCTGGCAGTGCCTGAGAGAGCCCGACAGTGCGTTGCGCTGTCCGTCTTTGGCTGACAATCGGTGTCGGAATGTGCACGGGCATCGGAATTCAGACCACATATGGCGGCGCCGTGCATACGAAGATAATGGCGACAGCGGTGACGGCGATGGCGACGAGATAACCCTTGTGACCGCGATCACGATTACCTATACGACCACCCTTCGGGTGATAAGGAGGTTCGGGGGGGAGGAAACAACGTCTCACTCGATCGGTCTCACTATCGATCTTACTATCGATATCGTTATCGGTCTCGCTCGATCGATCTCACTCGATCGATCTCACTCGATCTATTTCATTCGATCGATCTCACAATCGATCTGACTAGTGATCGATCTCGCAACCGATCTCACTATCGATCTCACTATCGATCTCGCAATCGATCTCACATTCGGTCTCACTATCGATCTCACTATCGATATCACAACCGATCTCACAATCAACGTCATCATCATCAACAACATCATCGTCATCAGCGTCATCAACATCATCATCATCGGGACACCGTCATCATCATCACCTCATCACCATCATCATCAGCATCATCATCATCACCATGATCATCATCATCGGGACACCATCATCGTCACCATCATTATCATCGACAACATCATCATCGGGACACCATCATCATCATCATCGGAGCACCAGCATCATCATCTCATCATCATCATCATCATCATCATCATCATCATCATCATCATCAGCATGAACAACATCATCAACGTCATCATCAGCTGGGCACCATCATAATCAGCATCATCATCATCATCAACACCATCATCATCGGGACACCATCATCCTCGTCACCATCATGATCATCACCATCATCATCATCACCGGGACACCATCATCATCAACATCAGCATCATCATCATCACCATCATCGGACCGCCATCATCAAACTCATTGTCATCATCACCTCATCGTCATCCTCATCATCAACAGCATCATCATCGGGACACCATCATCCTCATCATCAACAACATCATCATCAACATTATCGGGGCACAATCATCATCACCATCATCATCAGCAGCATCATCATCAACCTTCTCATCATCATCATGATCGGGACACCATCATCGTCCTCCTCATCATCATCATCTTATCATCTTATCATCATCAACATCACCATGATCATCATCATCATCATCATCATCATCATCATCATCATCATCATCATCATCATCGGGACACCATCATCATCATCAACATCATCATCATCACCAACACCATCGTCACCCGGACTCCATCATCGTCACCACTGTCACCATCATCATCAACATCGTCAACATCATCATCATCATCATCATCATCATCATCATAATCATAATCATAATCGTCATCATCATCGGGGCACCATCATTATCACCACCATCACCATCATCATCATCATCATCATCATCATCACCATCACCATCATCATCAGCATCATCAGCATCATCAGCATCAGCATCATCATCATCATCATCATCATCATCATCATCATCATCATCATCATCATCATCATCATCATCATCATCATCATCGGGACACCGACGGGACACTGGCGGGACACCGGCGGGACACCGCGGGCCACCGGCCCCCGGAAAGGAATCATTTGGTCCGGCCGCGCCTTAGCCGGGGCACCGGCGGGACACCGCCGGCCACCGGCCCCCGGAAAGGAATCATTTGGTCAGGCCGCGCCTCAGCCGGAGGAGACTTTCTTCTCGCCCGCCCGCGCAGCTTCGCTTCGCCCGCAAGCACGGCACGCACGAACATGAAACCGAAACCGATTTCCCGGTAGGGGGGCTCTCCGTTCCACTTCGATCTCACCCCCTCACCTCCGATCAACGTTGCAACCCGTCACGCGGATCGCCCCCAAGCAGGGCATCCCTGCTTCGTCTGGATAACTGATAAAAATGAGGAGGCGCCTGCAGAATGCTCCCCTGTCCCCCTGCCATGGGGAACGCCTCTTCCGATTTCGAAGGGGCGAACTCGCCTCGGCGGTTGGGAATTCCTCTGGCTCTTCCTCGTCTCGTCCTCTTACTTGTCTTCTTCCCAACGTTGATGCTGATCGTCGTCGTCGCCCTCATCCTCCTCCTCCTCCAATTTCTCCTCGTCCCCCTTATCGCTCTGGCCCTCCTCCTCCTCCTCCTCCTCCTCCTCCTCCTCCTCCTCCTCTTTCTTTTTCGAGATTCTCGAGAAGTGCGCCCGTCGCAGGTGGAGCGGCTAGTTCCAGCTCCAGCGGCCGCGCGTGAGGGCGCCCGCTCGCGCCTGCGGCTGCACCAGCGAGGGCATCTCGGAGTGCAGGCCAGCGGAACCTGCACCAACATAAGCGTTTTTTTTCTGGAACACCGACAAGTACAAATTCATATGGACACAGTACCACTGGGACGACGAGTGGAAAACGAGGGCTCCACAGAGACCACTAGAGCGTTCTCCTTAAGGGCCCTCTCCTCCCGTGGAGCGACAGTGGGACATGCCCAGCACCAGAGATGTAGAGGCTTCTCACACGCCGTGACATTGATGGCAGTGCTCGCCCCGACTACACGCCGACTGGAGAAGGTATTTCAGCGATGCACTTTGATTACTACAGTCAATCTGGATGGAATGTACTGCAGCACAGAATTTGTGTCGGACACTACATTGCATGGTTCGGCCATCGGCCCGCATGTCCAGGAAACGAGGTGAATGTAGAGAGGGAGGGACTCTGTTCGAAGCGTGGGCACAGCAGGACTTCGGTAGAATAGCAATTGGGCCCGCCTCCCGCATTCTCTCCCTCCTCCTCTTCCCTGTGTCGTTGAGTGAGGTCGCGCCGTCTTCCTCCCCCTGCTTGGGTGCCGTGCTCGCCCAGGGCGTCCTGAAGAAAGGGCACGCAAGAGGGCCAACAACCGCTCCCCCCGCACTGGCCCGTAGGGACTCGCACTTGCAAAGAAGCGAGACTCCTCGGAACTCGCCCCTTAGAGCATCGGGGTACGCCCCCTGCCGGGCCCATGGGACGTCTGGGTCTGCGGCAGATTTGATTCGCCGGGGATGTTGCAAGTCGTGCCCCGCAGTTTTTTCGCGGGCGTCGCGACGTTGACCCCCTCATGCGGATGTCCTGTCCTGTCCTGTCCTGTCCTCCTCCTCCTCCTTTTCCTCCTCTTCCTCTTCCTATTCCTCCTCCCCCCATCATCCTTAGCCTCCTCCTTCTCCCTTTCCTCGGCTTCCTTTGCGTTCGCCTCCTGGTTGTCTTATTCGTGGTGGTGGTGGTTTCGTTGGTGGCGGCGGTGGTCGTCGTCGCGATCTTCGTCCTCGTTTTCCTCATCATCGTAGTCGTCGCTGTTGCTGTCGCTGTTGTCGTCGTCGTGGTCTGCGTCGTCGTCGTCGCCGTCGTCCTCGCCGGAGATTCCTGCAGGTGTCGGGGGCCGCCGACAGGCACCTGCCCTCCGCGCTGCTGGCGAGCCCGGAGCCTCGTCACGCTTGGCCGCGCCCGCCCGACGACGACGATGCTGCCCGAGGGCGGCCGGGCCCGTCGGCGGTCAGTGGGTCCTCTTCGTCGCCGGGGAGGGGAAGAGGAGGAGGAGGAGCAGGGGCAGGAGGAGGAGGAGGAGGTGGAGGAGGAGGAGGATGCGGTGGAGGATTAGGAGGAGGAGGAGGAGGAGGAGGAGGAGGAGGAGGAGGAGGAGGAGGAGGAGGAGGAGGAGGAGGAGGAGGAGGTGGAGGAGGCGGAGGAGGAGGAGGAGGAGGTGGAGGATTAGGAGGTGGAGGAGGAGGAAGTGGAGGAGGAGGAGGAGAAGGAAAAGGGAGGAGGAGGAGGAGGAAAAGGGAGGAGGAGGAGGATAATGGGGTGGGGTGGGGAGGAAAGGCTGGAGGGAGCAGGAACAGGAGGGATGAAGATGAGGAAGAGAGCCAGAGTACCCCCCCAAACCATCAAACGTGCTGCATGCACTCTCCCGTCACACGTCCCCTCCTCAAAGACGCAGGCAACCCTTGCATCTTGCTACAAGAAACTCCCCTGTGAAAAGCCAGCACTCCATAGACCTGCCCTTCAGGCGAGATGCCCATCTTCATCCCGCTTGCCTGCTCACGCATTCCCCTCTTTGCTGCTGTTGGTTTCTCGTCGGATAGCGTTTTCGCGTGCACGTTGACGTGCCGTGCGTTCTGGCACATCGCGGAAACATTTGCCCAGACGTTTAAAGTGCCACGCGTCTCAGGACACCCGCCCCCCTTCCATGGGGTCCCGTCCGATGCTTTGCGCGACCCTCCTCGAGCCACAGTGACTCCGAGTTTGAGCGATGCTTTCGCGCTCAGCAGTTTCCTCCCCTGGTTCTGCCATAACCTGCAATTTTACAACATGTGTGTTGCTTGTGGGGATGGTCGGCGTGTGCTCCAAGGGCTGCCTGAGCCCTACAAACCCCGCGGCGCATTCTCAGACCACGTGCCGTCCTTCGCTGCGCCACTCGTCAGTACTTGTTACACGTAAGGGCGCACCCCTGCATTCATAACTTCTGCGTCTTCTCTTTTTTACTCCGTGCCTCACGCTACTCTGCTCTGCTCTGCACGAGCAAATCGACACGCTCGACCAAACGCGCCTGTGGTGCGCACGGGGGACGAAAGACACGGAAGCAGCTGTGAGTGCGCCGTGCCCAGAAGGAGAAGGGGGATGTAGGAGGAATGGTGTTAGGGAGGCAGGGCCATAGGACGGGCGAGAGATAGAGGGAACGGAGGGACGGCAGGGAAGGGTATGGGAATAGGGGGGGGCGGACGGGAGGAGGAGGATGGAGAGAGGGAGGGAGGGAGGGAGGACGTGAGGGACTTGAGGTGAGGAGGCAGGGATGCACCCTGAGACGCCGCCCCCGAACGCCTCTGACGCCGCGGGGCGGCGCCTCTCGCGCCCTGATCCCCAGGCCGCCTGGCGCGCAGCACCTGTCGGCGGGGCTCCGTCTCCCCTCGTGCGTCCTCCTCGCAATCCTCCTCGCTCTCCTCGCGCTCCGCCTCGTTGTGCTGCTCGTGCTGCTGCCGCTGCTGCCGCTCGTCCTCCTCCTCTCCCCGCGTTCTCGTCCTCCTGCGGCGGCTCCCAGCCAGGCCATGGGGGGGCGCCCCAGCGCCTGCAGTCTCCAGGCCTGCTGGGGGCACGCATGGGGCACTCTGGGGATCACCTTGGCGCTCTCCCTCTGCCCCTCCTCCCCTCTCGCCCCTTGGTTCTATCCCCCCCCCCCACACTTCCGCGAAGGCGGGGTACACTCTGCAGGTCGCCGACATAGCCCACGAGGTCGACCCCAGGAGGGGGCCCTCCGCGGTGCCCGCAGGCGCTCGGCCCGTGGACCCCCCCCCGGGCCCCTTCCCCCCGCCGTCCCGCAGCCGGCGTGGCTCGGGCGGCCCCTCGCCCGCGCGCGCGACCAGGTTGTCTGGCATGGGCGCCGCCGCCGCCACCGCGGCCGGGCCGGCCGCCAACGGTCGAGCGCGAGGAAATCCAGACGTCCAGCGTCCTGCACAGAGTCCACACGGGAGCTGTTTTGGGCCTCCATGGGGCCCTCGCTGGGCCCTGGGGCTGTCAAACAAGTGCTCAGGATGGACAGTCGGCCCTTGGGCAAGAGTCGGGACCTTCACGACACCGTCTTGAAGAAGTGAAGACATCGGATCAACCACGCAGAGATGTCTCATGGCGCCCCGCCCCTATCAGCCAGAGAGGTATGTGACCCCCAAAAAACGGTGTCCGAAAGCAAGCCCGAAATTGTGACCGGACACGCAGTGTGACCAACATTGTAACCGAGCTTGAAATTTCGGTCACGCTCTGGCGCGCTCGGGATAAATCGGGCGCCGGTTTCGGTCAAAATGGGGCAGGTATTCAGGCACAGCTCGGCCACAAGACCCTGGCGCACTCGGGAAAGTTCGGGCGCCAGTGTCGGTCACCACCGGGAGATCTATTCGGGCACAGTCTAGGTCGCCCCCCCGATAGAGACGAGGCAGCGTGAGATGCCTCCCCCGCCTCCCCTCCCTCGAGCCCACAGTCCCCCCCTTGGGCGAAGGCTGGGACCTTCAGGGACACCGGGTTTGAAGAAACCAAGACATCGGGTCTCCGGTGGAGTCTCCGGGGGGAAAGAGAGTGCCACCGCGCAGAGACGTCTCCCCCGCCTCGAGCTCCCTCGAGCCCGCGGTCGCCCACAAAACGCAACCAGCACTGGGGGGTGCTCTGGCTCACCCTTTCCTGGCTGCGCGCCTCGAGGGCCCCGCCCCCGGCGTTGGCCGCAGCGTCCCGCCTCGTCCCGTCCTGTCGGCCTTTTGTCTCCGGGGAGGCCACCGTCACATCGCCACAAGCCATGCAGGGTCCGTTTGACCCGATCGATCCGATTCGATATCGACTTCGGTCGGCCCGATCCGATTCAAATCTGGTATTCCAGCGATCCGATGCGGCCCGATTGTTGCACGGCGCTGTTGTGCATCCTGGCGCAGCCGATTCGGTTCGATTTCGGCTCCGTGCCGATGCGGCCCGATCCGACGTTCATGTCGATTCGCTCCGATTTCCCAATTCGATGCTGACTGATCCTGCCGTGCCCGGTCATGGCCATTCTGGGCCCTGGTATGGTGTAGAGATCCCCCTGGCCTCGGCTTAAAGGGCGTATACACCATGCCCAGGCCCAGGGCCGCCCTGGCCAGGCACAGCGGCGGTGGTGGGGTGTAGACGCCTTCTGCATATCATCTCTCCTTCCACCCTTCCAACTGGCAGGGCAGGGCGGGATACAAGTCCTGCCGGGCAGGGAGGGATACTGCTGGACAGGGCGGGATCTTGCTGGGCAGGGTGGTATACACCTGGGATGGGCGGGATACAAATACTGCCATCACTGTTTTCAAGTTTAAGTTCCACACTCGTGGCCTCTTCGAAGTGGAGGGGGGCCCAGACGGCGCTGCGGGGCATGACGCCTCCTCCTGCCGAGTTGATCCGATCCCTTCCCCCTGGCACGGGAGCCCCCTTGCACAGGTTTGCCCCCCCCTTGGCGAGCTCCCTCTGCCTGCCGTCCCCCCCCCCCCCCGCCCACCCCAAAGAAAGCTCGAGCCAGCTCCCCCTCTTGCGGCCCCCCCCCCCCTGCGACGGTGACCCTCCGAAGGCGGGCGCCCATGGACCCCCAGCCCGCCGCGGAGCCGGTCGTGGAGTTCGCGCTGCGCACCTTCGCCTTCGGCCTCTTCCTGCGGCCCGGCCGCGCCGCCCCGCCCGATGACGGCGGCCCGCCCCCGGGCGCCCCCGAGGAGGCCGCCGGCGCCGGCGGGGGCGGGGAGGGCGAGGGCGCCGCGGGCGACGCGGAGGGCCGCTGGGAGGCGGTGCGGGTGCCCGCCGAGATCGCGGGGGCCCCCGGGTTCACGACGCTCGCGTGCCGGCGGCACTGCTGCCTGGGCATCACGCCCGAGGTCGGCGGGGGGGCGCGGGGGGGGGGGGGGGGGCATCCCTGGACGCCCTGCCCCCTCCCCCGCCCTCCCCCCGTCCCTCCATGCCCTCGTCGACCGCCCTCCTCCTCCTCCTCCTCCTCCTCCTCCTCCTCCTCCTCCTCCGTCTTCTCTCTGTGCCCTTCCCTCCCCCATCCCCCTCCTTGACGAAAGCCGAGTCGATCCGATTCGGCCTGGTCAGGATAGCATCGGCTCCCTTCTCTTCCCCCCTCCCCCCTTCTCCTTCCCCTCGTCCTCCTGTCCACCCACCTGCCCTCCAGCTGCATTCGAGTCGCAGAGAGGCCGAGCTGGCGAGCGCGACTTAGTCAAGCCTGAGCAGGCGAGTCAAGGCTGTGCGAGTCGTCGGCTTCTGGTCAGCCTTTTCCATGCTTGCTATGCAACATTGGAGGACCCAGGGAGGGTTTGCCTTGGAGCTGAGCGCCGCACCAGGGACCTTGTAATGATTCCCCATTCGGGCCCCCTTCAAAGCACTCACCTGCAGATGCTTGAACACGCTTTCATGTTGGCACCAACATTGATCTAATGATCACTTGGCCCTATGTGTGCTTTGTCTTTCGTGGGCACCTCCAGCCTCTGATCGGTATTGCTTCGTTCCTGGTTCGCTTCGCCAGGGCGTGCCAACCGAAGGACCCGACACTCGGAGGCGAGGGGAGGGGGGGCCTCAGGGCAGGGAGGAGCGGGGGGGGGAGGGGAGAAGGAGAGGGCGGAGGGATGGATGGAAGGGGAGAAGGAGAGGGCGGAGGGGGCACGGCGGTGAGGGGGGGGGCCAGGGACGGGGTGAAGGGCCGCAGTCTTTTCTCTCTCTCTCTCTCTCTCTCTTCGCCCCCCTCGTGCGAGGGCGACGTGCACCGCTGGGACGCCGCCGGGCGCGGCGCCGGCGTGCTGGCCTGCGGCTTCGGGGTGGAGTGGTCGCTGCTCGTGCTCAAGGACGAGGCCGCCCCGCCCCTGACCTCGCCGCGGGCAGGGGCGCGGCGGGGGGCCCCACAGGGGGGGGGCCCGACGCTCGGCGCAGAGCCACGGCGAGGAGGAGGAGGAGGAGGAGGAGGAGGAGGAGGAGGGAGGAGGAGGAGGAGGGAGGAGTTGGGGGAGGAGGAGGAAGAGGAGGAGGAGGAAGGAGGAGGAAGAAGAGGAGGAGGAGGAGGAGAGGAGGAGGAGGAGGAGGAGGGCCCTTCGCGCTCTCCCGGCGCGACCGCGCCCGGGCGGGGTCGACGCGTGGGGGCCCCCGCGCCCGAGGCGGTGCAAGCCGCAGGGCCCGCCGTCGTTCGGTGCCGCCTCCCTCCTCCTCCTCCTCCGCCTCCTCCTCCTCCCTCCTCCTCCTCCCTCCTCCTCCTCCTCCTCCTCCTACGCCTCCTCCTACGCCTCCTCCTCCTCCTACGCCTCCTCCTCCTCCTCCTCCTCCTCCTTCTCCTCCTCCTCCTCCTACGCCTCCTCCTCCTCCTCCTCCTCCTACGCCTCCTCCTCCGAGAGGAGGGGCGCGCAGCCCTGAGCAGACCAGATCTGCCGTGGGGCACCACGCCCGCGTGGCACGACCCCAGGGGGGGGAGAGGGAGCGGGAGCGCCTGGTACCCCGGAAGGGGTCTATGAGGGCGCCTCGGCGCCTCGGGTGAGGAAATATGCTGGGGGCCGAGCATGACCGCGAGGGCGCCGAGGGACGTCTCGGGAGCACCGCTGCGGCCCCGAGCGGCTCCCTGATGCGGGGGCTCGGCCTCTCGACAAGAAGCGATGATGGGCCAACAGGCAAGCTGTTGCAGCGTTATGCGGTCCGCAGTGTATCTGAGTGAGGGCCGTGTGGGGCGCTCCAGAAATGGCATCGAAGGAGTTTGGCATCTCTTGCCCGGCGGAAGGCGGCGGCAGGCGGCGGAAGCGAAGCAACGGGCGCCGCCGCCAGCGGACGGCCGGCGGAAGCCGGCGGAAGTAAAAGTTGCGCGGCCCCAGGAGATGTTAATATTTTTGGATCCAGGGCTTCTGGAGCCCGCCAATGCACCGCTGGAGTCCCGCCGTGCGCGCTCCCCGGAGAGGCGGCGGGTCACGGCAGACCCGGCCGCCCCTCGGCCGTCGCCTGTGCCGCTCCGCGAAGACCTGCCCAGCACTTCGCAGTCCCCACCTTGCTGCTGCAGCTGTCGCTGCTGTTCCTTCTGCCGCTGCTGTGCTGCCGCTGCCGCTTCTGCTCGCGGAGCGAGCCCTTCCGACAGCACACCTTGAACGCCCGCCTCGGCTCGACACCGGCGCGGGAGAATGAGGGATAATCTTGGCCTTCAGCCTGTTTCCGAGATCGGTGCGGGGAGGGAGGGAGAGTGGGTAGGGGCGAGATGAGGAGAGGGATTCCGATGTCCACCCCTCCAGGTTTTTCGGAGGCTTTCTTTTTTATGTTTGCCATCCCGCCCCAACCCCCTTCGTCGTGCTCTCCTTCTTTTCTGGGGGGCTGGGCTCCCTCCATCCTCCCCAGCCCGTTCATACACGTACCTATACGACCACCCTTCGGGTGAGAAGGAGGTTGGGACGGGGGGGAAGAAATACTCACTGACAACAACTGCGATGACTGTGATGGAGATGGCGCCATCGATCTCATGACTTTCACAATCGATCTCACCATCGATCTCACCATCGCTCTCGAGATCGATCGCACTATCGATCTCACTATCGATCTCACTATCGATCTCAATATCGATACCGTATGATATTTCACTATCGACCTGACAAGAGATCTCACGAGACACCATCGGGACACCACGATGGGGCACCCCCAGCCACGGCGGGGCACCTCCAGCCAAAGATCTGTTGTGATCGATCTCACTATCGATCTCACTATCGATCTCACTATCGATCTCACTATCGATCTCTCGATCTCACCATCGATCTCACGATCACGATCGATCTCGCAATCGATCTCACTATCGATCTCGCTATGGATCTCACAACTGATCTCACGAGCTCACGAGGTACCATCGAGACACTACGGCGGGACACCTGGAGCCACCGTCGGGACACCCCGCGCCACCGACGGGGCACCCCGCGCCACCGACGAGGCACCCCCGTGCCACCGACGGGGCAACCCAGGATCGATCTCACGATCATGATCGATCACGCAATCGATCTCACTATCGATGCCACTATCGATCTTACAACTGATCTTACGAGCTACCATCGAGACACTACGGCGGGACACCTGGAGCCACCGTCGGGACACCCCGCGCCACCGACGGGCCACCGACGGGACACCGACGTGCCACCGACGGGACACCCCCGGCCACCGCGCGCCGGGTGGGAGGGGCGGACAACCAGCTCCACAGCCCCCAGGCACGGAGGCATCATTCTTCTCGCGCGCCCACGCAGCTTCGCCTCGCCCGCACGCACGACATGAACACGAAACCGAAACCGATTTCCGGGTGGGGGGCTCTCCGTTCCACTGCGATCTCCCCCCACAACCTCAGATTTTTCGATACTCGTAGGTACCTATACGATCACCCTTCGTGTGATAAGGAGGTTGCGGGGGGGAGGAGAGGGGGAGGAACCAACAGCTGACTCAATCGATCTCATTGTCGATCTCACTCAACGGGACACCACGGGACACCACGGGACCACGGGACACCACGGGACATTTGTCGATCTCACGATCGACTTCACTATCGATCTCACTCAACGGGACACCACGGGCCACCACGGGCCACCACGGGACACCACGGGACACCGCGGGACAACTCTCGATCTCACTATCGGTATCATTATCGATCTCACTACCGATCTCACTCAACGGGACACCACGGGACACCTCCGGACACCACATCGATCTCAGTATCGATCTTACTATCGATCTCACTATCGATCTCACTCAACGGGCCACCACGGGACACCACGGGACACCTGTCGATCTCACTATCGATCTTACTATCGATCTCACTATTTGGGACACCACGGGACACCACGGGACACCACGGGACAACTCGGAGCACCACATCGATGTCAGTATCGATCTCACTATCGATCTCACTCAACGGGATACCACGGGACACCACGGGACACCGTGGGACACCACGGGACACCTGTCGATCTCACGATCGATCTCTTTATTGATCTCACTATTTGGGACACCACGGGACACCACGGGGCACTTCGGGGCACCACATCGATGTCAGTATCGATCTCACCATCGATCTCACTATCGATCTCACTATCGATCTCACTACCGATGCCGCTATCGATCTCACTCAACGGGACACCACGGGACACCACGGGACACCGTGGTACATTGCGAGCCAGCGCTGGACGGACGGACGGACGGGCGGGCGGGGGAGAATCATTTGTCTTGACTTCGCCCTAGCAACGGCGGACACCACGGGACACCACGGGACACCACGGGACACCGCGGGACACCGAGGGCCACCGCCGGACGGGCGGGAGGGGGATAATCATTTGTTTTGACTTCGCCCTAGCAACGGCGGGTTCATTCCTCTCGCGCGCCCACGCAGCTTCGCCTCGCCCGCACGCGCGACACGAACGAAACGAACCGATTCCCCAACCTCCGAGAATCATTCACGAGACTTTTTTCTCTGCCTCTCTCTCTTTCTCTCTGTCTTTCTCAGGATTCTTTTTGGTCATGGTCCGAGTCACGAGGGATGTTCCACGCCTGACTCCCCTTTCTCCTCCCTCCCCCTCCTTGGTTCTCCTCCTTGTCCTCCTCCTCGTCCGCCGAGCTCCTCCTCCTCGTCCCCGCCCTCGCCCTTCTTTCGCTGACCTGGTCTTCCTTCTCCCTCGCTCTTCTGCTCCCTCCCTATCTCTTTCTCCTTGCCTCTCGTTCCCTCCTCCCCACCCCTCTCCCTATCCCTCTCCCTCCTCCCTCCCCTCCCCCTCCTTCCCTCCCTCCTGAGCGGAGCGGGGTTGTCAAGGGGCGCGAGGCGGGCCAACGCGTGCAGCTGCGCGACGTGGGGATCGGCTACCCCAGCCCAGGCGGCGGCGGCGGCTCGGGGACGCCTGCCATTCCGATCCCGACCCCTTGACGCGGGACCTGGCTCCATACACGAAACTACTTTGGACACATCAAACATGCCTGTTATGGTTGTGTTCGTGTTGTGTGTGCGTATGTCTGTAGTATGGATGCATTATGTATGTATGTATGTATGTATGTATGTATGTATGTATGTATGTATGTATGTATGCATGTGTGTATGTGTCTGTCTGTCTGTCTGTCTGTCTGTCTGTCTGTCTGTCTGTATGTATGTATGTATGTATGTATGTATGTGTGTGTATGTATGTATGTATGTATGTATGTATGTATGCATGTATGTATGTATGTACGTATGCATGCATGCATGCATGCATGCATGCATGCATGTATGTATGTATGTATGCATGCATGCATGTATGTATGTATATATGTATGTATGTATGTATGTATGTATGTATATGTGTACGTACGTACGTACGTACGTACGTACGTACGTACGTATGTATGTATTTATGTATGTATGTATGTATGTATGTATGTATGTATGTATGTATGTATGTATGTATGTATGTATGTATGTATGTATGCATGCATGTACTAAGTGAACAAGTACATATGTTTGAATGCATGAATGACTGAGTGTATGCATGTATGTCTGCATGCATGCATGCATGTGTGTATGTCCGCGCGTGTGTGCGACCTCAAATAAATGTGTGTGAGAGAGAGGGTGTTTGTTCTGTTAAGTAACGGCTGAAACACGTCTGGCGAAGCCTGAGTGCAACACTTTGTCCAGAGTAGATCGAGTGTTCGCCTCTCCCTGTGCCTTGCACGAGGTTCGGAGGATGGACGGGAGGAGCGGGGATGAGATAAGTTGGAAAGGGGAAGGAAGGATGGAAACGGGAGGAGGAGTGGGATGTTCGAAGAGGGAGGGGCGAAGGGACGACTGGACAAGTGAGTGTGACGAGGGAGGCAGGGAGGGAAGGGGGGAAAAGGAGGAGTTGACACAACGGGCCTCCGTCCTTGTTCAGCCTGCTGAACAAATGAGCGGAGGGAGAGGGGGATAAGGGGTGGGAGTGGCATAGGGGGCAGGGGGCAGGGGATGATTGGGAGGGGAGTTGAGGGGAGAGAGGGCGGATGGGGGAAGGGGGAGGGGTGTGTGTGTGTGTGTGTGCTTTGGTGGAGGGTGGTGGGTGGAGGGGCCCTCAGGTGGTACCAGAAATGCCCCGGCGAGCTCTTCGACCAGCCCCGCCAGGAGCCAGACTGGCAGCCGCCAAGGCCCCCAGGGGGGGGCCCTAGAGCGTTATGTGCTCGCCGTGCCCGTCTCTTCCTCCCCAGCCTCCCTTCGAGGATTATTGCGGTCCGATTCTTTGCCCTCTGCTCAGATCTCTGCGGCGCCACCTCGGAGGCGCGCGCTTGGACAGAGACGAGCCAACCGCCGACCGAACGCCGGGCGCCGACCGGAAGCTGGCCCTCTCCCGTTTCTCGTCAGCGCCCCCCCCCCCCCCTCCCCTGGAGTGCGTCAACTGGAGATCTGCTCCGGTCCTGGCCAAGCCGAGCGGGGAGAGAAGCCAGAGGGGATGGCGCTGCCGCGCACATCCGCCAGGATCTTGCGTGGCATTGCGGAGGCTCTGGGCGGGGATGGCGGAGCTTTCGGGTGCGAGGTGGAGGAGGTGAGCAGGAGGAGGTGCCGTTTGGGAGGCCTCTTGGGATCGTCGGAGGGGCCGTTTTCGGAGGCGCCTGGGAGCTCTCGGTGGCCTCCTGGGAGCCTCTTGGCGGCATCTTGGGCCTCTTGGGGGCCTCTGGGGCTCGCGCTCGGCGCGCAGGGCTCCTCGGCCGAGCCAGGAGGCCGCCGCAGGCGCCGAGGCCTTGGCCCGGCTCTCCCCGAGCCCGCGGCGGGCCTCTCTGCCCTGTGCAGGCCCCTTCGGCTCCCCGAGGCCCCGGCAGCGCGCCCCGCAGCCCGTCGGGCAGCCAGGCTGCCAGCCCGCCGCGCGGCGCCCGCACCGAGGACGGGGCGGCTCGAGCGCTTCTTGTTCAGCGCGTCGTCGTCGTCGTCGTCGTCGTCTTCGTCGTCCTCGTCGTCGTCCTCGTCGTCCTCGTCGTCGCCTTCGTGGTTGTCGTTGTTACAGCGCGAGTTGCAGCCAAGGCGCTGAAACGAGGACTGCTTTGGGCTCAGGAGAGGTGCTGCTTTTCGGGGTCGTTCCTTCGACCTATGCCAGGGGGCTTCTTCGTGGCCCGGGCTCGACGTGTCAAGCCCCTTCGTTCTCTCTGGTAGCACTATGTCTGTGCACTGCAGCGTGGGAAGGAGGTGTCGTGACGTCAAGCCCCCGCCCGCACAACGTGCCCCCCAGCATCACCGCAACGCGCGCGCGCGGTGCACGTTCCGGGGCGGTGCGGGGAGCGCACTGCGGGGTGGGGGGAAGTTGGGCGCAGCGTCATGGAGGGCAGCAGGGGGAGGGGAGCATAGCATATGTGCGTTGCGGCCCGGGCCTTGCAACACGAATCCCTGGCGGCAGAAGGCCCCAGACAGCACAACCATCGGGTAAACGAGGGCATGGTCTTGTAAGGCACGCGCGGGGGGTTATGCGGGAGGGCCTGCGTAAGGGCATACGGGAGACCACGCGGGAGACCATGCGGGAGGCAGTGCGGGAGACTTCGGGCCACGGGCCCCCGTTTTCGGATTCAGAGGGGCTCACGCCCGGCCTCGCAGAACAGTTGTTTAGTGAACCTGGAGGCTGGAGGCGGAGGATAGGGAGTTATGATGATGCTGCTGATGATGATGATGATGATTATGATGATGACGATGTTGATGATGCTGATGATGATGCTGATGCTGATGATGATGCTGATGACGCTGGTGAGGAGGATGAGGAGGGCCACACCAATCACTGGATGCGTTAGCGATCCGTCAGTCCACCCGTCTCGTCCCCTCAGGAGTCCCTACAATGATTCCTGTCCACTGCAGGAAGGGCCAACCTTCCCCGCCATTCAGGCAAGACCCCGTTCTGTGAAGGATTTACCCTCCATTCATCTAGCTGAACGAAGTGCATAGCGGTGTGATCATAAGGCCCAGGGACGTTTCCAGCGATAGCCTCGTTTTTTTAAAGGATTTGCTGTCAATGTGTGCAAGCGTTGCACATGTCCAAAACCCTGGTAATACAATTCAAGGAAAAGGGGCAGATCTTCAAAACTGTTGAGCAATTTGGACATTCGCGTCGAACTGATGGAGGACGTCTCAAGTGGGCAGCCCAACTTCGGAGTGTATCCGTCTGGCTGCTTGCAATGTTCTTCAGACGAGTTTGCGCGGCGTCACGGCGATGGCCCACTTTCAAACAGATATCGACCTCTATCAGCGTAGCCGTTTGACGTTCGTAAGACGAGCATGCGCAGCGCCATGGCGCGAGAGCGAATCTTGAACCAGAACCGCCATCCAGCCGTGCAGCTGCTTGATTGTTTCAGGCGTGGCTGCGCGGCGCCACGGCGGGAGCCACATTCTGGACAAGAGCCGCCATCCGTCCGTGCCGCTGTTGGAGCTGTCTCAGAGGAGCGTGCGCGGCACCCGGGCGAGAGCCCCACCTCGAAGGTACCGCCCTTCATCCCTGTTGCACGTGTCTACGACTAGTGTGCGCGGCATCAGGGCGGGAGCCGCTCTTTCGAAGAGATGTCCACCTCCATCCATGGAGTTGTTTGTTCTCACAGAGAGTGTGCGTGGCGCCAAGGCGGAAGCGCCATTTTGAGCAGGAGCTGCACTTCATCTGTCTACTTATTCGACCCCCCAAGCTTCCGCAGCATCAGCTGTGAAATATGACCAAGCGGTTTGCCCAGCCCGTCCTGACGACACGCCTGGTATTGCGACAATCAGGAGGATGAGTCATCTATAAGGAGAAGGGATGGAGGAGGAGGGGGGGGAGGACCAGGTGGAGGAGACGGATGAGGAGGAGGAAGAAGAAGAGGATGGTGATGATGAGGAGGCGGAGACGGAGGAGGAGGAGGAGGAGGAGGAGGAGGAGGAGGAGGAGGAGGAGGAGGAGGGTCCATTTACATTGCCCCCCCCCCCCCGCTGCCCTCCTTCCTCCCCTCCGCCTCCTCGCCTCTCTTCTACTCCCTCCCCACGTTGCTGTTGTGCTTTGCGGTAAAAGTCGCCGCTCCTTGCCCTCCCCGTCTATTCGTGGTCCTGCTCGTGCTCGTGGTCGTGGTCGTCGTGGTCGTCGTCGTCGTCGTCGTCGTCGTCCTCCTCTTTGTGCTTCCTCCTCCCCCACTTCCTCCTCCTCCTCCTCCTCCCCCCTACTATGCCCGTCTCTCTTTCCCTCCCCGCCCCTCCCCTCCACCTCCCGCCCCCCCACCCCTTGTCCCCTCCCCCGTGCACCTCCCCGTCGTCCCGAGGAGGGTACCTTCCCGACGTCGCCCGCCGCGGCGGGCGGCGGGGGCTCTCCCCAGGGCGCAGGGGGCGGCGCGGCGTGCGACGAGCACGCCCGGCGCCTCGGCCAGACGCCCGCTGGCGGTCAGCAGCCGCGAGTGCATGCGGCGGCGATGGGCTCTGAACAGTCGGGAGAAGGGAGGAGGGAGGAGAGAGGCGGATAATGAGGAGGAGGAGGAGGAGGAGGAGGAGGAGGAGGAGGAAGATGATGATGGTGGTGCAGGAGGAGGATGAGGAGGATGAGGATGAGGATGAGGATGAGGATGAGGATGAGTAGGAGGAGGAGGAGAAGGAGGAGGAGGAGGCGGAGGAGGAGGAGGAGAAGTGGGAGGAGGAGGAGAAGGAGGAGGAGGATGCTGCTGCTCCTGCTGGCTGCAGCTGCTGATGCTGATGATGTTGCTGCTGCTGATGATGATGATGGTGGTGGTGGTGATGATATGATCGTGATGATGCTGCAGATGATGATTATGATGATGATATTGATCACGATGACGATGATGGTGCCGATGATGATGCTGCTGATGATGACGACGACCATGATGATGATGTTGATTGTGGTGGTGGTGGTGATGCTGCAGCTGCTGATGCTGATGTTGATGCTGCTGCTTGAACGGATGACGATGATGACGGTGATGTGGGTGACGATGATTGTACGGGTGTACTAGTGCTGATGCGGATGCTGCTGATGATGATGACGACGATGATGATGATGATGATGATGATGATGATGATGCTTTTGCTGATGATGATGATGATGATGATGATGATGATGGTGATGCTGATGGTGATTATGATGCCGAGGACTGTTGCTGCTAATGATGAGTACGATGATGCTGGTGATGATGATGACGATGATTGCACTGCTGATGCTGATGCTCATCATGATGCTGCTGGTCATTGCTGCTGATGCTGATAATGATGGTGATGGTGACGGTGGTGGTGGTTATAATGATGACAATGATGATAATTGATAATGGTGCTGGTGATGATGACGATGCCGAGGATGAGGATGATCTGATACTGATAATGGTAATGATGATGATGATGATGATGATGATGATGATGATGATGATGATGATGATGATGATGATGATGATGATGAGGGCGATGATGGTTGTGGTGGTGGTGATGGTGATGCTAATGATGCTGATGCTGATGCCGATGGCGATGATGGTACTGATGCTACTGGTGTTAATGCGGATGGCGATGATGCTGATGATTATGGTGGTGGTAAATGATGATGATGATGATGATGATGATGATGATGATGATGATGATGATGATGATGATGATGATGATGATGATGATGATGATGATGATGTGATGATGTGATGATGATGATGATGATGATGATGATGATGATGATGATGATGATGATGATGATTATGATGATGATGATGATGATTGTGGTGGTTGTGATGATGAAGGTGATAACGTCGATGAGGATGAAGATAGTGCTGATGATGATTTTGACGGTGATGATGGGGATGACGATGATGATGGTGATGATGATGAGGATGAAGATGATGATGGTGATGATGATGGTGATGTTGGTGATGAGGTTGAGGGTGGTGATAATTATGATGGTGACGGTGATGCTGCTGCTGCTGCTAAGGATGTTGATGATGATGATGATGATGATGATGATGATGATGATGATGATGATGATGATGATGATGATGATGACGTCGCGGTTTACGCCACTGACGACGGCGATGACGATGGCGATGGCGATGACGGTACATGGGATGACCATGATGTTGATAGGTATGATGGTTTCCATGATGTTGATGGTGTTGATGATGCTGCTGCTGCTGATGCCGATGATGTCGGTGATGCTGCTTATGATGATGCTGATGCTGATGCTGATGCTGATGATGGTGATGATGCTGATGATGATGATGATTCTGGTGACGATGCTGCTGATGGTGATGATGCGGTGCGACGAGGAGGTTGATAAGGACGAGGAGGCGGACACGGAGGAGGAGGAGGAGGAGGAGAAGGATGAGGCGGACAAGGAGCAGGATGATGGTGTTGCTGCTGGCTGCTGCTGCTGATGATGCTGCTACTGATGATAATGCTGCTGATGCGGATGAGGAGGGTGCTGATGATATTGATGATGATAATGATGATGATGATGATGATGATGATGCTGATGATGATGATGAGATGAAGGACGATGTTGACTATGCTGCTGCTGCTGATGGCGATGCTGATGGCGCTGACGAAGATGATGATGATGATGATGATGATGATGATGATGATGATGATGATGATGCTGATGATGATGATGATAGTGATGATGATGATGATGATGATGATGATGATGATGATGATGATGATGATAGTGATGATGCTGGCTATGGTGATGATGCTACTAATGATAATGATGATGATGATGATGATGATGATGATGATGATGATGATGATGTTAATGTTACTGCTGCTGCGGATGGTGATTATGATGATGATGATGATGATGATGATGATGATGACGATGATGATGATTCTGCTGATGATGATCATGGTGATGATGATGCTGATGAGGATGATGATAGTGATGATGATGATGATGATGATGATGATGATGATGATGATGATGATGATGATGATGATGATGATGATGATAGTGTTGGTGATGATGATGGTGATGATGCTAATGATGTTGCTGATGAGGATGCTGATGCTGATGTTGATGCCGGTGCTGCTGTTGTTGATGCTGTTGATGTTAAGGGTGATCATGATGACGATCATGATGACCATGATGATATTGATGTTGATGCTGATGCTGGTCATGGTAACGATGATACTGATGATTCGGATTATGATGATGATGCTGATGATGCTGCTGAATGATACTACGGATGATGATGCTGATGATTGCGATGATGGTGCTGATGCTGCTGCTGATGATGATGCTGTTGATGATGATGCAGCGGTGCGGCGAGGAGGCGGATGAGGAGCAGGATGAGGAGGAGGAAGAGGAGGTGGAGGCAAGATGGTTGGATGGACGGAGGGGCCCAGAGGGAGGCAGGGGGAAGGAGGGACGGGAGGGGAGCAGAGGGGAGGAGGGAACGATGAACGGATTGAGGGCGGTAGGGGAGGAGACGGTTCGCCTTTTAATTGCAGGGTCCTGGGACGTACAGTCGAGGTACTATCAGAAGGAACGCTAAATAAGGAACGAAGCCCCTTCTTGGCCCCAGAAGCGCCTAGGTGCACGAGGAGTCATGGAGGAGGGGCCATGGAACAGCTTAAGGAACAGCGAGCCCCTTCCGCACCCGAGGCGTTCCTTATTTCAGCGTCTTGGCTGTACTCCTCTGCCAAGCTTCAATATTCTGGCCTGTTGACTCGCGGTGCGGCTGGGGGTGGGCGGCGTGTCGCCAGCCGCAGCAAGGTTGACGCGCATAGGGACCTCGAGGGGCAAGGGGTCTCGGAGCATGACCGCCTTCACTCGTCGTGGATGTTTGATGTTTGTCGCCAGCGCTGGGGCTAAGCGTGCCACACGCTGGCACGAGCTCTCTTCTGTCTGACGTGTAGGAAGTGGGCCGCAAGGTTCAGATGGCTCGCATGGTCATGGACCTTGAGCCGCCCTCCCTTGTCTCTTTCCTCGTCTTGAGTCTCGTGGGTTGGAACGGGTTGCTCCTTCTCCTCCTCCTCCTCCTTTTCTTCCTCCTCAGGCTCACGTTACTGTCGACGTTGCGCCGACCCCTCCTCCTCCTCCTCCTCCTACTCCTTTCTGGCTCCAAGCGTGAGGCCCATCAATGGACCAACATGTCAGGTCTTTGGCGCTGCAGAGTCTGTTCGAATGGCTTCACGTGCACCTCTTGTCCCGAAGGGGGCTCCTGCGGAGATTATTCTAGCTTCGACCCTGTAGTTTAGGATCGACTCCAGCACCGTGTCACCGCTCTCGAGTCCAGTGACGGCTCACAGGTCTTTCGTTGCCTGCATTGCCGCTTTAATTCGTCTGGTGCCCAGGGCAAGGGACTCGGGCAGTTGTGCAGGCCCCCGACGGTCACTGGCAACAATAATGGGTGGTAGTCTAAGACATGGAAGCATCATGAGCCAGATGCTTCTCTCGACCTTGACTTAGGCAAGACCTCACTTTCTCCAAGCGTCCCTACCTATCCTTTCAAGCTGTGGGCGCAGTCGTTGTGCGCATCTTGGCTAGCTGCCGGGTGCGAGTTGCCCACCCTGTCTGCGGCAGTGTTGGGCAACTTCCTTTGCAGGATTGCCAACGGGGCCTCCTGCGCTGCTGTGCTGTCTCACAGTAGCAGCGCCGCGTTGGTAGCCTCGCCAGAATTGGTCTTAGCTTGAGGTCGCCGTTGAATAACACAGGGAGGAGGAGGATTGGGTGGGGAAAGGATGGCAGAGACAGGGATGGAAGGACATTGGGTACTGGGGGAGGGAAGGATGGAGAGAAGGAGGGATGGAGGACGAGGAGCACAGCTGGCAGCAGGAGTCTCCCCGGCGGGCGCTCTGGACCCATCTGCCGCGGGGCTTTTGAGGACCCGAGGCTGGCCCCCCTTTCCTCTTTTCCGTTTCCCTTTCTGCTCACCCGCTTTCGTTTGATTGCTCCCGCAGGTAGGGGCGATCGCGCTGATGGACAGCGGCGAGGTTTACACCACCGAGGTTTTTCACAGCGGCGTCGCTGCCGACGGTGCTGGGGTATCATCGCCCCACGCAAGTCCAAATCCGCCCCCTCCTCGACGACGGTCGTCCTCGTTTCCCGCCCCTCTCAGCCCTTCTACATCTTCCCTCCTCCTGCGCCCTACGCTCGTTCTTACTCCTCATACTCTACCCCATCACCTCATCTTCGAGGACCTTCTTCCCCTCAACCATCCTTCCCTCCCTCCTCCCTCCCTCCTCCCTCTTTGCTCCTTCACCACTGCTCCACAAGACGCTTTTGGCCCTCCCCCTTTAGATGTTGAGGATCCTCGTCGCTCCCCAGGGTCCCCCACTCGAGGGCACGAGCTCGTGCCTGCCTGGAAGTCCGCTGCACGTTCCGCGCTGCAGTTCTGCGCGCCGCCCTGCGCTCCGCAGGGCCGCGGTCCCTCGGCGGTGGCCGCACACGACTTCCGGGCAGGCTTGCCGCAACGTGGGACACGGCGGTGCTCGGCGGTCCTCCACCGTGCTCCAGAGAGGCTTCCCCTCTCCTGGGCCGCCACGCCTCGCAGCTCTCCGCTGGTCTGCGGGTGCTGTCTGCTCGCGAGGCTGTGATGGGGCTTCGGGCGCGTGGCTTGGCCCGTCGACGCTGGCCCACGGGAGCGCCCTTGGCGAGGCGCAGCCGCTGGGGAGGACCCCGAAGGGAGGAGGGAGGAGGGAGGAGGGGGCAGGGGGGAGGGAGGAGGGAGGAGGGAGGATGGAGGAGGGAGGATCGAGGAGAGAGGAGGGGGCTTCGGGTGCGTGGCTCGCAACGCCCGGCCCCAGGGAAGGCTCCTTGCTCTGCTGCCTTCTCCCTTCGAGCTGCCGCCCCTGTGCGTTCGGATTCTGGTGCCGCTGGAGGAGCGCTGCTGCGGCGCTTGGGAATTGCACCGGACGCCGCTTCCCCGATGGAGGATCGTGCGAGGAAAGGGCGTTTCTGGACGCCCGAGATGGGCACGGAAAGAATGGGTACGATGTCCAACAGCAGTTCCTGTTCATTCTGAACAGGATTCGCTGTCCACGCCGCCGCGGCCTGTGTCCATTCGAGACAGGAGGCCGCCTGCCCAACAGCGGCCGCTGTTGGTTTGGGACAACATTTGCTGTTGGGCATTGTACCCATTCTTTCGGTACCCATTTCGGGTGTCCAAAGCGTTCGCGGCGCGGCAGTTGGTGCCCGAGCGTCCGCGTATAGACTGGCGCAGCGCCTCGTCAACCAGAGGGCGCAGGCGAAGGAGCGCTGTCTGGCGCTGCCGTCCATGCTGGAGTCCCTCTTCGGGAACGCCTGCTTCCTGATGCGTGTCCAGGCCAGCCTTCCTGCGCTCGAATCCTGAGTCGCAGGAGAGGTTCCTTCCCTCGAGGATCGGCTGAGGTGCAACGTCGCGCTTTCACGCCGCAGCCGAGGGCCTCGATCCGGTACACTGTGCCATCCAGGACCTCCGCAGGGCTCGGCAGGAACCGCCGCTGGGCGGCGTGGCGGCCGCCATTGCTGGGCCTCGTTCTGGCGCTCCCGATCGCTGACGGGGGCTGCTGTCCACATGCGGTGCTACGCTGTTTCCGGTCTGCGCCCAGGTGCCGCTGCCAGAGCCGGCGCCGCGGCAGGAGCAGCCGACCGGGTCGGAGCCGACGGCAGGCTCTCTGGATGCGTCTGAGACGGTCGACGGCGACATCGATGCCACGGGCTCGTCCTTCTCCGCCCCCTCAGCGCATGCCGCCTTCCTGCCGCCCGGGCAGATACATGCCGAGCTGTACGACCTGAGCGTGGCCGAGTGGGCTCGCGGGCGCACGGGGTGGCGAGCTCAGCCATGTGTTCGGCGCCTTCAGCATCTCGATCGACATCAGGACGTGCTGGAGGGGCGCGGCAGCAGCGGTTCGGCCAGAGCCCCCCTGCAGGGGGGGCTGTCCTGGCAGGTGGCCGACCGCACGCAGCGGGGTCGCTGCCGCTGAGGGCCGGGCACGGCTTCTTCGCAATGCCCAGGCGCATCGGATTCATCCAGTCCTTCGGCCTTCTGGGCGGGCAACGCCCGCGGCTGCCTTGGACGCTGGTGCCCTCTTCCAGGGTTTCCGGAAGGTGGCGGCAGAGATAGCGTCAGCGCAGCCCATCCTTGTCGTCCCGTCGTCCGTTGGCAAGTGCATGTGGCCGCTGATTAAGTTTTTTTTTTTTTTTTTCAAAGGGACATGAATTACGGTGAAGGCGCTCTTGTCATACGAACTCATCTCTGGTTGGCGTGGAGGCCTTTCATCGTGGCGCTCATCTCTGTCGTCGCCTTGCCCGTGGAGCTCAGAGAGGTGGATGTTTCAGAAGACATCATCCTGGAGCTGTTTCTGTTGCTAATCGTGTTTCTATTCCTATTCCCATTCCTTTTCCAATTCCCATGATCCCCTCTTCCCCTACTCCCGCATTCCCCTATTCCCTTATTTCGTATTGTCCTATTTTCATGCTCCCCCATTTCCCTATTCCCCCATTTCCCGATTCCCCAATTCCCTATTATCATTCCTACTCAAATTTCTATTATTATTCGGATGTTCGTGCTTATTCCTATTCCCCTTTCTCATCTGTTTCCTTTTCTGTTCCTGCTCCAGTTCGTGCTCGTGTTCCTGTTCTTAACACTGTTCCCCTTCCTCTTCATATTCGTATTCCTAGTCGCATTCGCATTCATAGTCAGATGCATATTCATATTTATATTTCGATTCAGACTCCGACTCATATTCCTGCTCATGTCCATGTGAATGTGTGTTTGCCTTCCTAGCTCAATTCCGATTCTGGTTTCGGTTCGGTTTCGGACCCCCGCGCGTTTCAGATTTCGAACAATTGGGGATGGTGGTTGAGAGGGAGTGACTCCTGCCGATGGACTCCCGCGGGGGCCCTCCTGGCGCTTTGGGGGCAAGAAGTTGCGAGTTGGGAGAGCGAGGGAGGGAGAGAAAGAGAGAGAGAGAGGGAGAGAGAGAGAGAGAGGGACAAAGAGAGAGAGAGAGAGAGACTCGCCATCATGGATATGGTAGGCTTCTGGCCGTGCTCGGTGTTCCCCCCTTCCTCTTCCTCCTCCTCCTCATCCAACCCATCCTCCTCTTCCTCCTTCTCATCCTCATCTTCCTCTCCTCCTCCCCCTCGCCTTACTCCTCCCCTTGCTTCCATCAATCCTCCTTGTCCTCATCCTTCTCATCCTTCTATCACTCATGCTCCTTCTCCTCCTCGTCCTCCACCTCCCCCTCCTCCTCCTCCTCATCATCATCATCATCATATCTCCCACATGGGAGGCGGACGTGGAGGGAGGATACGGAGGGATGAGGAGGAACCGCTAGAGGGGGGATAAGTCTGAAGAGGCGGATGGCGAGGTGATTGACGGGACACTCCTCCTCACCATGCCGTCTCCCTCTCCTCCACCCTCTTTCCCTCTTAGGAGAAAGAGGAGGATGAGGAGGATCAGGAGGATGAGCAGGAGGGTGATGAGCATGAGCAGCATAATGAGGATGAATGACTCCTGAACCTCAACATCATCTTCCAACGCCTCCTCGTTTTCCGCATGTCACTCTTGCTCCTCATCCTCATATCACTCCCCTCCTCCTTCCATACAGGAGATACGAGAAGGAGAACACATCGGAGGTGAAGACGCGTGGTATGAGGCGGAACGGGCGTGATGCCATGACTTTGGATGGCGGCGATGAGAAGAATGTGTAAGAGTTGCTCCTCCAACTCACTATCGTTGCCCGCATCATCCTCGACCTCATTATCCTCAGTATCCCCATATAAACTGCCCGCCGCATCATCATCACCACCATCAGCATCATCAACATCACCATCATCATTATTAGCATCATCAGCATCAGCATCACCATCAACACATTATCATCACCATCATCAGCATCACCATCATCATTATTAGCATCGTCATCATCATCGTCATCATTTGTTAGCATCACCATCGTCATCAGCATCATCAGCATCATCATCATCACCACCACCATCATCATCATCATCATCATCATCATCATCCTCAGCAGCATCATCATCATCATCATCATCATCATCATCATCATCATCAGCAGCATCATCATCATCATCATCATCATCATCATCATCATCATCATCATCATCATCCCCATCAACATCAGCATGGTCATCACCATTCGCATCACCATCATCATCACCATAATCAGCATCATCCTCATCACCACCAGCATACTCAGCATAATCCTCCATCCTCTCCTCCTTGTCCCCTTCCTCCTCTTCATCCTACGTCTCCTGCTGCGTCTCTTGCCACTCCTCCTCCACATCACCCTCCTCAGTATCCTCATTCTGCACATCCTTGTTATACCACCCCTCCCCGTACACCTCACCCGCCTCATCCGACTTCTCTGCCCACTCCTCTGCCTCCTACCATTCTCTCTCCGCATATTCCCCACCCACCCGCCCCTCGTCCGTCCATCGTGGCGATGGGAACAGGATGCCAAGGAGGACGACTAGTGAGATATTGCGGAGGACGACGAGGAAGCTGAGGTGTGAGAGGACCAGGGGGGGGGGCGGGGACAGGGAGCGAATGACTGACACCCTCCCCATGGTACTCAAATCCCCTTCTTTCCCTTGTCGTCTCCTCCTGACCCTCTAGCTGTCCTGTCGGGCGTATGGCACTGCGGAGGAGGAGAAACGCGATGCGGAAACAACACGTGAACTTATATAGGAGGAAGAGGAGGAGGAAGAAGGAGGAGGAGGAGGAGAAGGAGGAGGGGAAGGGCGAGAACGATGAGCGGGAGGAGGAGATGGAGGAGGAAGGAGGACGAGAAAAGGGGGGGGGGGATAATGATGATGACGCGCAGCTATGTTACATCAATGTTCGCCACCATCCTGTTACACGTTCCCCTCTTCCACCTCCTATCACTCCCCCCCTCATCAGTCTTATCCTTATCCTTGTGTCTCCAATGCGGAAGGCGGACGGGAGGGAGTTATCGGGGGATCAGGAGGAGGAGGAGGAGGAGGAGGAGGAGGAGGAGGAGGAGGAGGAGGAGGAGGGGGGGAGGAGGAGTTGCAGGAGGAGTAGGAGGAGGAGTAGGAGCAGGAGGAGGAGGAGGAGATGGAGGAGGAGGAGTGATGCAAGGAAGAGGAGAAGGCGTTGAAGGACGATGCTTTCTTTGTCCTCTGCGCATAACCATCATCATCACCGTCATCTTTCGATCACTCCGGCTACCCCTCATTTTTTTAAAAGGAGGAGGAGTGAGGGAGGGGGAGAGGAAGGAATGACCCCTCAACCTCCTCCTCATCCCCCTCCTCTTCTTTGTTCTCCTTTGACAACTCCTATTCTTCCCTGTCCCCGCTCCTCATCAGCGTCCCTCCGTCTCCACCCTCCCCCTCCTCCTCTTCCTACTCCTACTCCTACTCCCCCGCCTCCTTCCCCCCATCCTCCTCCTCCGTCTCCTCTTCCCCCTCCTCCCAATCAGAATCCCCTTAAGGGCCATAATGCGTGAACACCCTAGGAAAACACTGCAACCAACCAAACACAACCAGCAAATCAAACCAACATCCTTTTGGACGTTTCTGGGTTGGCTGGAGAGGAGGGGAGGAGTCTCCCAGGATGTTTTTTTGATTGGTTTGCTCGTGATGCCGTTTCCTATGTGCTGATTGGTTCTGACCTGAAAGTGTCTTCGGATTGGGAGGAGGAGGGAGAGGAGGGAGAGGAGGAGGAGGAGGAGGAGGGGGTGAAGGATGAAGAGGAGGAGACATGACATTGAGATGGCACAAGAGGCCACCCCACCCCACGGGAATCCCAGGCCGACTCCTCAACCATCATCGTCTAGCCATCTTTGTCACCGCCAACGTTGCATCGCGCCCAGTTTTCAGAATCTCAAAATAACGGGGGTCCGAAACCGAACCGAATCCCCGACTCCTGTTCCTACCTCATGTTTATGGTCTGTGTTCTCAGATTCCGGTTCATGTTCACCTTAGTTCCCCCTTCCTACTCCAAGTCATGTTATGGCTCCGTATCCTTTTATTTGTCATATTCCTATTCCCATTCCTATTCGCATTTGTTTTGTGATTCCGATTCTTATTCCTTTCCCATATTATCCTATCCCCTCATTCCCCTATGTCCCTATCCCCTTATTCACCTACTCCCCCATTCCAACATTTCCCCACTATTCCCCGATACCCTGTATTGCCATCTTCTTATTCCTATTACCATCCCTTTTCTAGTCCCAGTATGATTCCTCTTCATGTTCTTGTTCCTATGTCTGTTCAAGTTTCTGTTTCTGGTCTTATTCATATTCCCATGTCTATGCCTATTCCGATTCCTGTTCCTATTCCGATTCCTTTTCCCTGCCGCCTCCGTTCTTCTCCTTCCCTCCTTCACTCGTTTCTTTTTTTGCGGGGGGCGTGGGAGGAGCGGGGACGGGCGAGATAAGCGGATCGGACTGCACCCTGTCCCCAAACCCTCCTCCCCTCCCCCCCTCCCTCGCTTGCCCAGGGCGGGCGGGTCGGACGCGTGGGCGCGACGAGGGCATATCCGAGGTGCCGCCCCGGCCGAGTGCCCCTCCTGGCGGGCGGTGGCCTCGCTCCAGTCCCACCTGGTCGTCGCCGTGT